CTGGGAGCTGTATGTTGATGAGTATGTATGTGTGTGGATGGGGAGAGTGTTGTTAGTGTTGACAGACAGATAGATAGATGCATTCACGCACAGAGCCATCCATCCATCCATTCGTGAGTGAGAGAGTGAAGTGTTGGTGGGGTGAGAGTAGAGGAAGTAGGGTATAGAGAGCAGTGTAGAAAGAGTATGCCGAGATGATTGTGAGGCGTAGTATGTTGTTGTTTGGCAGAGTATTGTAGTAGTGTACTGTATGATACTCGGTCGATACAGCTTACTCAGTTATAGCTTACCAGTGAGTTGCCTGCTCGGTGAAGTGGTGAGGTAGTGTTGATGGAGACAGTGGAGTGAGTGGGTGTAGAGTGAGATGGTAGAGTTGAAGAAGTGGATGTGTTGTATACCTATCTATCTATGTATGTATATGTATGTATGTATCTGTTGTGTAGAGAGTAGTTGTGAGTGTATGTATTGTGAGTAGTTGTAGTTGTGAGTATGTAGAGAGAGTAGAGAACAGTTGATGAGGATGTCTGTATATGTTTATTGAATAGTTTGTGTAGAGAGTGTAGCTGTGTATGTGCCTGGCTGCTTGTGTGTGCAGTTGTGTAGCTGTGTGTATGTATTTGTGGGTTGAATGTTGTGTTCGGGAGACGTGGATCTGGATAGAGTTGTTGTCGGCAGATAGGTTGGAAGCATGCTGTAGAGTCATGGATGTGTAGTTGTGTATGTATAGTTGTTGTGGTGTTAGTGTTGATTCGCTTTCTCATCTGCTCATCTAGTCATCACTCATCCATGAGTCAAGTGTTGCGCTCAGTGTGTCAAGTGTACTCAGAAACTGAGGTGTGAGAGTGGAGGTTGGCAGCGTGTGATGGCGAATGTGTTCAGATGACTGTGTGTGGTGTGAGTGGTTGTTCTGATGCTGTGTCTGGAGTATGTGAGTAGAGATTGTCAGTTGTAGAATACAGTACTTTACTCTACTCAGAGCAGACAAGAGTAGGACAGAGTAGAGTGGAATAGAGTACTCGGAGTAAAACAGATTAGACGAGAGGGTGTGTGAGGGTGAGGGTGAGTTCACAAGAATATTCTAAGCTGTCTTACGACGCGTTTCGGACCTTGCTTAAGGATCCATCATCAGGTGAGTTTAGAATTTTCAGAGCAGCATGTGTTCGTCGGAAGAGCATCACATATCTTAAAAGGAAAGTTTTTTTTTGAAATCAATATCAAGTGGGAACGTCTGACGCAGCATATTGCCAAGGGGATTTTTATTCGATGAAGAAAATGAAGAAGTGTTGTTTTTGGACAATTTTCATGGATCTTAGTTATTTTCTGACTTTGAATCAGTTACGTCTGTACTCTCCTTTTCTTGTAGTTCGTTATGGTGTGTTTTCAGGGTATTGTTGTTGGGTTTCCATCACTTGTGGCTGCTCGATATCTCCATGTTGTTGAATTTGGTGTAATTGGTGTAACATTGAATCAAGCGATTGTGTCGTCGGCTTGTTATGTTGTGATAGTTCCACGTCCTGTTGTACTAAGGCTGGCTGTTCCATAGCTGCAATATCCTCCAGTTCAATCAACTGGTCTTGGTCTCGTTGGTCATTTAAAAAGATGGTGTCCCAATCAAACAATTCCAGCAATCGTTCATCGATCACCTCTTCGAAGAGTTCGTCGACGGTCGGTGATGGACTTTGCACGTCGTCCGAAAGGTCTCGATCTTGATGTTCTTGTCGCTCTCGTTCATCGGAACAACGATTTCGATGATATTCTTGTTGCTGAAATTGTTGATTCGCCATTTGTCGTCGTCGAATCTGGTGTGCCAACTGTTGATGTGGGTGGTCTGTTCTCTGTTCTTGTCGTCGTTGTGCTCGTCGTCGACGTCGTCTCCATCGGGCTTCTCTGTGTCGCATCAAGATTTCGACTCTTGATTAATCAGAGATCACCAGTGGTTGGATTGGAATCATCTTTCCCACATTCAGATACATCGAGGGCTGACTAGTTGTAGCAATGTCAGTCGAGATCAGTTGATTAGTGGACGCTTCGTTGTGAGCGTTGCTACTCGATGGTTCTGAAGCAGCATTAGAGATTTGACTATTGTCGGCATCCATTCTGAAACAAATCGCTGATGAGAAGAATCACTGTTTCAATTGTTCTTCTAGCCGCTAATCACGAGAATATTTTTTCTTTTATTGTTGCAGAGTACTTCCGATGATTGTTTTGACTTCGGTTTGAAAGCTAGAAGTTTGTATGACAAAGTTTGGTTTGAATCGTTTCACTGATCGCAATCAAGTACTTGTGCAGTACGATGTTGAACGATTTCAATTATCTAGAAGAAAGCTGCATAGAGAGAGTGTCCGTCAATAGAAAGAAATAGTCTGTTTTTATTCAATGACGCTTCTCCGACGAACAATCTATACAAAGTGTTTTCAACCAACAGTATTGCCTCATCACTGCTCGTTTCGCTTTCTTCACATTCATCGTCCAGTGGTTGTTGCCAGTGTATTGTCCATTTTCTTCAACAGTTCTTTTGGCGGCTTCTTGTGCACAAAACATTGTTCCAGTGTTCGATTACTCTTGGCTGAGAATTTCACTTTCATATGAGCAACTTTAGATCCTTGTCGACGAAAGTATTCTTCCCACCAAGCCCGAAAGATGGGCCCGAAGGCAGTACGAGGTCCACTTTCGAACTGATACGGAGCATACAGGATATTCGGATTCCATGCTTTTTTCCTCATCAGTGACTCGAGCATCTGTGCAACACCATCAGTTGGGATCGCTTGTAGTTGTTTTTCACGTCGAGTCGGTTGATGGAGTAGCTTATGATGTAACTGAGAGTAATCTTGTTCGTTCAGCTGTTTTAACACCGATTGAGCATTGTATTAGTCGAAGAACCGATTAACATGCTTGGTGATGAACGCAGGTGGATAATCGTTCAACAGCAGAGATATATCGATTCGAATGCGCTCGATAGTGAAATCGTGCACATTGGAACAGATTCGAGCCGCTCGTAGCAAGGCAGCATATGAAATATTGCGATGCACATGATGTGGATGATCTAATTTGTACGAAAGAATGTAGGGTTCCGCTGTTGGTTTGTGGAAAACAGATTTTGTTAGATGTCCGTTGTCATTTTGGATAGCCACGCCAAGGAAGTCGACACAAGATTGAATCTGGTATTTGATTCGAATATTGCGATCCTTCTGATCCGCCGTGTCCAACATATCCTTGATTTGATCGAATGACAAATTGGTAGTCATGAAACCATCGTCGCTGAATCTATCCGAAAGCAGAAGAAATAGAGAATCTTATTCGCATGAAAATAAAACAGTACAGACCGGCCATAGAGTTCACCACAAGCATGTTGATGTTCGACGAAGGACTGTTCCCATTCCAACATGTAAATATTCGCCAAGGTCATGGTGAATGCGGATCCCATCGCTCCACCTCGAATCTGTAGATAATACTTGTCCTTGTAAACAAAGTAGTTGGTGTCTAACACCAGACGAGCTATCCGCATGGTATCGTTGATCGATAGGCTGCCAATCCGATCACCATGTGAATGTTGCGCTAAGAATCGCATCAATGCTTGCAAGGCATCTTGCCATGGTATTATAGTCTAGAGATCAGCCACATCCAACGTGACGAGCTGTGGAGGCATATTTCTTTAATACTCGAATCAGGTCGAATCCATTGATGAACATCGTCTTTCGAGCAACTTTCAAGAATCCGGGCGCCAAGAGCTTGTTGAGAAACTGTGAGATAAGAGTAGCTGGTGCATGAATGGAATCAAAGATCGGCCGTAATAGTGTATTTGGCTACGATGAAACACAGAAAGTAACACACTCACGTGGCTCCCCTTCTCAGATTTAAAAGAGTTGAACAGCAAAATCAATCTTTCCTTGCGAATTGAACTGATTGAGCGCTCAGTTCTCATTATTCACTGTAACTCTTGGGTAGTTTGTCTGTTCATCTCTCCCTTGGTTCCACTGCGCCCTTTGGTCGGCCTTCGGCCTCACTGGAATTTCTTCATTCACTCTCTCTCTACACCCGTTCTGTCCAAGACACAACACCAGAACACGTTCTCTCTTATTGCTGGTGCTTTCGCACTCTGACACTCACTACCTCAATAGGCATATGGTATGATGCGGGTGCCACGAAATCTTGATTGTACTCGCGTAGGTGATCAAAGTCTTCATTCTCTCACTCCGCCTAACTATACCTGCTGCATCTCTCTCTGTTCTGTCCAAGACACAACTCCAGAAGGCGTTCTCTGCTAATGCTGGTGCTCGCACTCTGACACTCACTACCTCAATGGGCATATGGCATAGTGCGGGTGCCACGAAATCTTGATCTAGCATTGTATCACTGCTCTGTTCTTGTCGAATTTCTCTGTATCCGATTCAACTATGATTCTGGTGGTTGAGCTACATGAATCATTCATTTCAGCTTGTTTGTATTCAGTACAGTGTCCATCACTCTGATCCGGCAAGAAACCATAAGTCTTGCTATCAGGAACCATTCATTTCGACTTCCAATTAAAGGCAGGCTCACATTCAGAGACATATCTCCTATTATCACTCGAGCAAAGCGCGTGAATTTATTGCATCGACTGTGTCCAAAGTCCACTCACTGTTGAGATCGAACGCTCTCGTTGTTTCTGAAATATCACAGAAGTATATTCCTAACAACAGCAAATACAGAAGACATGAGGCAATGTCTGTGAAAAGCACCGATATTCTTTAGCTAGTTGATTCAGAGCTCCTATTCTGGATCGAATCCAATATATCATCCTCTACCTTCTCTCGTTCAGGATACGATGCGCTGTTGTCTCGAATACATCTTTATCTCCGATCCCGTGTTTGAATCCGAATGAGCTACGAACTTATTCCGCTGCAAGTTAGTTGATTGATGAATTGGACAAGGTAGTTTCCTACACTTAGATGAATTGAGAGAGAGAAAATGCTTCAACGCCGAAGGCAACTGGCTCCATGAACGACTCGAAGCGTACCTAATCTGCGTCTCGTACTTGCATGGATGAATATCACTTTTTAACAAGTTTGAGCTATTTGAATCGGAAGTATACTGAAGAATGTGGAAGATGTGGAGTAGAGAAAAAATTATATGTTATCCAGCACATGTGGACACGTTTTGCGCAAGAAATAATCCTGTCGCAGAACAGATAGAGCCAGAGAAGTGATTCTGCGTATTCGTCTGAGTTTTTCTCTGAAAGGTGATCAGCTAGTTAGATCATCTTTTTTCGAAAGTGAGGTGCTGGAAAGAAACTTTCTTGAATGTTAATCTCTGTTTTCTTTTCGATTGTTGTGGATTTTCTCTCTTTCTTGCCAGTGCACAGCCGAGACCGCCTCCAGCGCCTAGTGCACAACGAGAACAACCGCAAACTGTTCTTCCTCGAGAGTTGATCCAAGTATCAACACCGCCACATAATGCTTTCGCAACTTCACTCAAATCCCAAATATCCATTCTGGCACATGCTGACAGAAGGTCCGGAATCCCTTTGGTATCAGGTGCAGCAACTGCACTAGCATCAATCACAAGCAAGCATGGCCACAATAATAAAATCAAATACTTGATCATCTTCTAAGTTACCGATTCTGAAGTGACGACATCAAGTGTACACTCCAGTAGGTCTTGTTTCAAGAGAATTCTTTTGATCTTCCATCCTGCGTGTTGGATCGATCTTCACTCCTAAAATCTACACCCGCCTGATGATGAATGGATTAAGTCCCACCCGAAACAATCGTCGTTCGTAGCATGTATTCTAAACTACCTATATGAACTCACTCTCATCCTCAACGCAAGAAATAGAAATCAGAAGGAAAGTGGTCGAGAACAGGACAGTTGTAGAACAAGGAATCAAGATTTCGTGGCACCCGCACCCTACCATATGCCTATTGAGGTGATGAGTGTCAGATTGACAGAGCACCAGAACAAGGAGAGAACGCCTTCTGGAGTCGTGTCTTGGACTGTGGAAGAGAGACAGAGGTGTCCAGATCAACAGACAATATATCCAAGAGTCTGAGCAAATGATCACCACTGAAGGGCAAATCAAGTCATCTTGCAAGGGAAGAATGATTCTTCTATTCAACTCGACAATTCTGAGAAGGAGATTGCCATTTTGTGGAGGAATTCTTAAATATTGAACGACGACGAATCAACAACGACTAGAGTCAACGTTCGAGTGCAAAGGAAAGGTGAGAAATTGTACGAAGTTAACGAGAAAAGAAAGAGATTGGTCAAGAACAAGATGGTTGGGATTGAGGAGCAACGGAAGGTTTGTGTCAATGCTATCGCTCGTTTTAGTCCTCTTGTGATGATTGACAAGTGATAAGTTATCAGTAGCATTGAGTTCAGTCGAAAGTCTGTCTTTGTTTTTTTTAAAGATAGGAAGGCAATGCAGTTGGATAAGTGTCACTTGATGATCACTCCGGTATGGATGAAATCACTCGAAGCGTAGCTTTACTTTGTATCTATTAAAAAGTCGTCATTCTCAAGAAGACTAATGTGTACAAC